GCCAAACATGTGTAAACCACATAAAAACAGAGGAGAGAGTTCTGTGCCCTGTGATGCACTCCAAGAAATGGATTTTACAGGTATGTCAAAAATCCTGTTTTCGTGCTCACACAGGACACAAAGAGTAAAATGGATAGCATGTCCAAAAGCAGTCCATCAGAAGGGCTGTAACACAACAAAGGCTAACAGGCCCATCAAAACAATCACGACAAACCCCAACAAGGAACTAAAACAGAAGGGGTCCACATGTCAAGCCTCACAGATTTGGGATCCACAGCCTGAAGATTAAAGGCCTAAGTAACACCAATGAAACTAGTAACGTGCGCTTTAACCAGAAAGGGGTGTGGGAGACTTAACCCTTCAACTCATAGGTCTCTGTGACAGTTTGCCAAATCCACCTAGTGGAATGCAAACCCAGTTCTTACATATGGGATCCCTCAGTAATCATGAAGAGGGAGTCAGAATATAAGCAGCAGTAGAAAGGTAAACATGAATGGCCTGAATCACAGTGGACATAAATCTCTTAAATATGCTTAGAAGCAGGACTTAATGAAGGCAGGACAATGTCCTGCTTAAGGTGGAAGGCAGAGACCACCTAAGCAGGAAAGGAGGCCTTAGCACTACCTAATCCCTGTGGGTAATCAGGAGAGGCTCCTTACAAGTCAAGGCCACTCATGCAGAAACACACCTGGCAGAAGTGATGGCAATGAGAAATGGCACCTTTCTAGTGAGCAGGGAGATAAATATTTTACTAAGGGGTTCAAAGGGCCGCTTCCGCAGTGCTAACAGGACCAAGTTGAGATCCCATGGAGCACTGGAGTGCATACAGGGGGGGACAACATAAGAGAATCCCTGCACAAAGACTTAAACCAGAGAGTGTAAAGCCAGCAGCCTCTAATAAAGAATCACCAAGGCAGAAATTTGGTTCTGCCCCCCTACCTGCGCCTTACCAGGCCACGTGCCCTCGACATTGGGAGGGTATCCCCATGCTGATGGGGACAAGGGCCTCTTCCCCAAAACCCTGACCCGGTGGTTGTGGGGGTCTGCGGGCAAGGGGGCTTATTTACAACCAGATGCCGCCCCCCTTGTGAATGAGTAAGGGGTACTTGTACCCCTACTCATTCACTAAAGGGTTCAATTCAAAGTAAAAATAACAAACCACACTTTTAGAAAAAAAATCCTTTAATTGAAAAAAAGTTTTTTGACTATTCCTTTAATAAAAAAAAAAAATGGCTCCATCAATGTAATCCAGCGCCAATCACGATATACGATGCCCGCCGAAATAAAGAAAGCCCAGCCACACGACGACCGTCCGAACCCGATGAAAACTCGCTGCAAAATGACATCTCCTTCCCGAAAGTAAACAATTCGTACAGACTACAGCTAAAGAATTTAGGAATCAAAAATTTGGATTCGTTTACATTAGTTATATCTGTAATTCGGAATTCGGATACATCCGAATCTCCGAAAGTTCGTCCGATTTTCGATTTGGAACGAAACGAATCACACGTCTACTTTATAGAACTCTAGGCTAAAAGCTGGTTTAGGCCAGACTGGGAAAAGGATAAGCGTCCCACAGTGTACTTTCTGATTAAACTTTCTCACTTCACACCAAGAGAAATAAGCTTTTTAAGTGCAATAGTACACCTTGTGGGAGGTTGACTTCCTAGCTTTCAGGAGTGTAGAGATGAGTGTCCAGAAGGCCTCTGTCCTTTAGAACCTAGGATTCAAAAGCCAGGCCATTAAAGTCCGTGCCTGAGAAGCAGGGCAAAATACTGAACCTCAGGACAGGAGGTCTGAATGATGTGGAAGTGCACATGGAGAGTCTACCAGGATTTTGACTACATCCACGCTCCACTCTCCTTGGCCTGAGCAATGAGGATAACCGGAATGCCCTCCATATCGATCCTGCGAAGAAGGTGAGGCAAGAGCCTCACAGATGGGAAGGAGTAGATCATGCTCAACTGATCCCATTCAGTCACCAAGGCATCCAATGCAAAAGCCCAGGTTTCCCAGCAGTGGCGTAACAATCACCATAGCGACCCAGGCGGTCGCTATGGGGCCCGGCCCGATGCCGTGCGGGCTGCCTGGGTCGCTATGGGATCTTCTGCTGCTGGCTTTCACTGGCGTCTGAAGACGAACACGCCGCTGTTCAGATGTGTGCAGCGGCGCGTTTCGTCTCCACAGTCAATGAGAGCCAGCAGCAGCGATGGGGAGCAGGCTGGACCCGGTGTTCGATCAACGT